GCCTTGCCGGGGCTGCGCTCAGCGGGGCCGAGATCTCCCGGGATGGACTCACCGGGGCCGGCCCTGTGCGCTCGGCAGGAGCGGGACTCTCGCAGCTCCGGTGTCGCGCCGGTTCCTCCCGAAGCGGCAGCAAATGAGGTCGGCGTTGGGTGGAAGTGGTGCAGCCCTGGTAGCACCGGCCACGGTCCCGCTGCCCCTGCACAGCCGGCACAACCCCGGGCCAGCAGCGGCCTCGCTGGCAGCACGTCCCGTGCCCCGGTCCGGTGCGAGGAGCGCACCGGGGGATTTGTTTGCGACATTCCAAGAGCCACAAATGCGACACCGGGAGATGCTTGGGAGGAGAGCCCGTGTACGGGGTGTTGCAGTGGGTGTGCCAGGGTCGCGGGCGGCTCCCAGCCTGGCAGCCCCCACACGCGGTGTTGCTTTCACACCCACTTGCCACGGGAAAGCCACCGCTACCCCGGCCTGTCCTGGGCTGCCCTGGCGGCGGGCAGGGTCCCGCGGGCCGACACGGTGCGGCTCTCAGTGTGCCACGAGATGGCACTGCTACAGTGCACGCCAGGCTGCGAGGGATGTCCCTGAGCTGCAGGGGTGTCCCTTGTCTGCACTGACATCGTGGGGGCACAGGGATGTGTATATAGAGATTTTCACCCTCTTGCCAACCAAGAATGTTAGTTCTGATGGTAGTGGCTCGTGTAAACCTGCTAGGGGGAATGTTTCTGACCAGCTGATTTATGGGCAGGATGAGTGTGGTCATGTTTGTGTTAATGCAGGGTTTTTGGGGAGGGGGTGAGCCCTACCTGGGGAGGTCACTGATGTGGGGTCAGGCGGTACCAGCAGGTTCACCTGGCATGGCTCTGCCTGGGCCAGCTGTTGTTAGGGCTGATTTTTCTCTCATTCTCCTGCATTGTGTGTGGCTCAGCGCTCCACGATTCCCTCTCTCTGCTTTTCCCCACAGTATGACTACAGCTTCCGGACGGAGCAGAGCGCAGCGGCTCGCCTGCCGCCCAGCCCCACCCGCTGCCCACCGGGCCCGCCGTCCTGAGGGGCCACAGCACCAGGGCGTGTGTGCGTGCACACTACTGAGCAGGGACATGGGACACAGCCATGGAACCACCCTGGCAGGCCTCCCCGTGTCCAGCCACCGCCCTGCGCCACGCCACCCCCTGCATACACCGCTCCACTGTCGGGACCTGTTCCCCCTCCCCTGCTGCTGCAGACCCCTCTCCACGTGAGTACGGGATGGGAGCCTGACGCAGCCCCTCGCGCATCCCCACTTTGTAACCCCGCTGCAGGACACTCACAGAATCCAGAGCTGTAGCAAACCTCTGCGAACACAGCCGGGAGCTTGCGGAGCATCGAGAGATCTTAGCCCTGAAAGGAACAATAAAAGGCACAGCTGGGTGCTGCCACACGAGCTGTTGTGGAGCTGCTTGGCTCTCGACACCTTGCAGCAGGAGGCTCCTGCGGCACTCAGTCTAGCGCAGAACTCAGCTGAGTGAATGCCAATCCCTCTGCCAAGGCCTGGGCACGGAAGTTCCACTGTGGCTGGGATCAGTGTCAGATCCACTGTGGTCACTGGATTTGCTGTAGACTGGGGGAGCCAGGGCCACTGGCTCTCTCTCCATGGGCACTGGTAGGGCAGGCAGGGTGCCCACGGTGCACTGCAGCTCCTGAGATGAAGCACCTTTGCTTTGCACAGGGTGTCCATCTGTCCATATGGATCTAGGGCAGCAAGCATCCTGTGCTTCTTTCTGGATGGATGCTGGCAGTGACACCCTGGCAGACCCTGGCAGTGCACCACTGACCCTGGCCAAGCTGCTTATGGACCTGCTGACAGCTGGGATGCCATCACCTGCCCATCATTGAGACAGTTCTCTAACACGTTCCCCACTAGCTGCTAAAACAAGAGATGTGCCTGTTTCCTGGGCATTTGTTGGGGAGCACTGAACACTGGCGTGGCACAGGGTGAGTGGGATGCGTTAAACCCTGACCTCTGCCTCCCTGTGATCGCTGGCTGGGCTTGCTCCCAAGCCAAACGCATGTCTTGGAGAAGTCCATTGCTGTAATAAGTTATTTACAAGTGCCCATCTGACTCTGTGCTGCTCTTTCAAGTCTCTGCTGTAGAACAAAGATACGTCATGGCAGCAAAATGGCAATTTTGGAGTAAGAGTTAAAACGTACAATTTTTTTGTATTGTAAGATATGATTCCCTGACCCCACTGAAATGCAATTGCCATGGTAACAGTAAACAGTGTTGTTGCTCCCAGCCTGGGTCGTACATGTGCCCCGACGCACTTTGCACTCCCTTGGATTCATCTGGCATTTGCTAGTTGCACAGAGTGGTAACTAACAGCAGTGTTTGTACTGTTTGGTAATATTTTTTATTTGTACATAAGTAAAATAATTCTTGTCCAAAGATTCATTTCTGGTTTTAAGGCACCACACTGTACTGCTGGGATAAAGAGCACAAAATATCGTGACATTTGGGACAAACTGAGTCCAGATCTTTGCTTCAGCTTCTTCCAATCAGGTAAATAATTTTCTGGAGCTGCCCCTGTAGACTGGCCATGTGGTTGGAGAGCAGAAGCCAATTTGGTTGCATGTATGTTGTGTTTGGGAAAAAGAGTTAAAGCTGTGCGCCAGCTCTGGAGCCCTTGGTGACCTCCTGGAAGTGCTCGTTTACTTGGAGCTTGCACCACCATTTTTAGTTGTTATTTATCCTGCAGTAAAGAAAAGCCAGACCTCACTGCCAGGCTTCACAAAGGCCAGATTGATGATGCCGACATCGACAAATGAACATACCATGGCAGCTTGGTCATTCGGCTCAGGTTCACTTCAAGTTCAAATCCAGTCCACGCCGTAGTGCTGTGCCCATCTCATCCATCTTTTGTCTTTCTATTTTTCTGCTTGTAATTTGTTCTGTAGTTTTCTGTGACATCCATTTATAGCTTCTCCTGTGGCTCAGTGGTCACGGCAGGTAGGCAGGGGCCATCTGCAGCACTGCGTTCCTCATAGCTTTGGGATGAGAGCTGACCCTCCCTGGTGATGCTGGAGGAACGAGGGTTGCGGTATAGCACAGGGAACAGCACAGGCATCCCAGTGTGCAGAGCTCCAGGGGCAGTGCCTGCCACTTGGAGACTGAGAGCCGCTCCTCGAGCCACCTCTTCCCAGCAGGACAGGGTTGCCTGCACGGCAGACCGGGCTCAGCAGGGAGCAGGTTCTGAGAGCTGCCAAGCCCCACGCTCAGTGCCACACTCCCTGGCTATGTCTGGGAAAATGGGTGCAGAGCTTCAAGTCCCTTATGTAACACAAAATCAGTCCTTTAATATTTATACCAACTGCTAGGTTTGCTCACCCTTCTTGGAGAAGCTTGCTCTGCAGTGACCTACAGGAAACACTGGATACTTGAAACACTGGCAGGATAATGTGGCTGGGACATGCATCTACATCTTCAGGATATATTTGTATGCTTCTTCCTCTCTGACACTGGGCCAGCAAAGCTGCTTTAGGACTCACCTGCAAAGAACCTTGAGAGATGAGTTTGCTCTCCACGGTGTGGTCCTGCACCATAGCACTGTGGGGACAGCCTGTTCCAAGTGCACAGGCAGGACAGATGCAGTTCCTGTGGGGCAAACACAGTGAAGGTGTTTCGAATAAAAAGCTGCACCTGCTGAGAGCCAGCTGAGCTCTCAGCCCTGCTAACCACAGACTGGAAAACTAGGCCATTCCAAAAGAGAGAGGGCTCAGAGCCAGTGCTTGGAAGCACAGCAAGACGCAGTGCAGGGTGGTTGACTGTGTCAACTTCTCAGTCCACTGATCAGAGGAAGCTTTTTTTATTGCACTGCTGAATTCCCAAGACCGGGGGTGTCAGGTCAGCATTTCCAGGGGAAGGTTTTATTGGCTGTTCCATAACTTTTGCACTCACAGCAGCTCGTTGCAGGGCTGGTCCTTGCATCCTTACAGTGAGTCCTCCGTGCTGGCATGTGCCATGGCCAGTACCAGCATCTCTTTGCATCTTCCACTCTGCCCAAGAGGCGACTGTGGAAGAACTGGACCAGGCAATAAATGTTCAGGGAGTCTGATGCAGATGTTGTCTGGCTGTGGAGAAGCCTTCTGGAGCATAAGGGGAGGGGAGGAGTCAGTGGAAAGCAACAGAAGTGAATTTTCAGAGCTTCACCAGATGTTCTTGGCTACCTTGCCTGAATTTGTAGAACAAGATTGGTCTCTAGGTAGTTTAATCTTGTGGCTGATGTAGAAGTTAGTTTGCCAAATTATTATACATCTGCAACAGAGACAGAAAAGCAGCAGTGAGGGGTTTGCTTACTGTAAAATACGCCTTCTGATGTGAATTCATAGTGACACGCTGCCTCCTGGATTCCTCACAGCAAGAAGCTGGTCGTGTGCCGAGGTGACTCCTGGCCACCCAGGCCAGGCTGTGCTGTCTGCTGTGTTGATTTTGAAAGGCAAGAAGTTAGTCCAGAAAGTGATGTAGAGTGTGAACTTTGTGATAAAATTCAAGTGTGAATAGTTATAGCAGGTGTCTTCCCTTACGGGAGCACCTCATATCTGTAGTTCCATAGGAGTAAACTGTGTCAGACGTTTCCTGTGACTGTCCCTGCGTGTCCCTGCGTGTCCCTGCGTGTTTTTTGGAGGTTTCTTGGGAGCCTCCTGTGCAGTGAGAGGTTGTTGGTAGTCTGTAGCATTGGGCTTGTTTGGTTTCACACCCACCACTGCTTCCTCAGCGTCCTGAGCTCTCCAGACTGAACCCACATGCTATCATGCCCCTGTCATGGGCACTGCACGTGCCAGGTAGGTGCTAGTGGCAAGGATATGCCTCCATGGGCCTTGGCACCTCCTCTTCCGTGGGGCCCTGAAGTCTCCTGGGAGGAAGGGAAATGGGACAGAGCTGGCTGGTCCCGTGTTGACCCTCACCTGCCCGCTGCTCCCCAGGTGACACTGGGTCTGTCTCCCCAGATGTGCCCGTGGCCCTCTCCCACGGCAGCCCCAGGAGCCCAGAGAGCTGTTCCTGCTCCTCCCAAAGGGCAGGCACACCTCGCCACATCCAGATAATTACCTCAGCCTTGGAGCCTTGACCAACAGCTGGGAATCTCTCCCAGCAGCAGAAATCCCCCCAGCAGCGGAGCAGCCGAGTGTGCTGGTGTCAGTCCCCCCTGGGCCCCTTATCGCCCCGGCTGTGGCACTGACGGGGGACGGGCTGCTCCTCTGCTCACAAACAAGCTCAGTGAGATGCTGCTTGGTTCATTCGCCACAGGGAAACCAAACACTTTGGATGTTCTGGTAGTTTGTTGTGAAATTGTTTCCTAACAGCAACAAATTTCAATGTCATCATACAAATGGCAGAGAGAAACCTTTTATGCAATTGCAAAGTCATTTTCTAAGATGGTTGGGTTACTGAAAGTGATTTTATTGTGCATTAATCTTATGAATGTTACTATGTTTTATATTTATTTTAGATGACCCTCCTGTATTTTACAAAGGGAAGTTTCATTGTGTGATAACTCAGTCTGTATTCTTAATATAATTTGTTAAATGAAACTTGTTTTAATCAGGTAATTCTGTGTGCTTTTGTGTTTTAATTTTCTGACTGAAACAACTGCCTGGATCAGAATGGTGAACTACAGAGGTGGCAACATGATCCCCTATAGGGAACATGCTCTTGTTTGTGGGCTTTTTTCTTGGAAATTTGATTTAAAAAGCCTTGGTAAACATCTCCAAAACGTCTTGCTCTACAGGTATTGCTGCAAAGTGAAAACAAAGTCAGATGAGGTGTTTTCCGGGCAGGATGGGGCAAAGGCCGGCAGGAGCGATGGTCAGCACAGCGCTGGTGCTGGCAGCAGTGGGGGCAGCACTGTCTGGGGGCAGCACTCGCCACCTGGGCTCAGCAGTGGCCACAGGCTGAGGCTGCAGTGGCCACCCTGGCAGCGCTTTGGGCACTACCTGGGGGCTGGGGGCAGTGAGCCCTGAGGGGACAGGGCTGTTCTGCCAGGGGGAGGCTAATACTGCATCACACTGAAAATTGTTTTTCTTTGTGTTAAATTATTATTCTTCTGAACTTGACCCAAGCTAATGGTGCACAATCTGACCTCTGGCATCTTCTCACCCCAGACAGTATTTCTGTCTCGCTTATTTTGAGTGCTCTTTGAATTAAGAGAGATTAATACCCAAGTTCCCGACATTCTCTTCAGGCATATGTTTTTATAACCTTTTGAAAGCAGTACCACTTGTTCCACAAAAAACTCAGAAGCAGCATCTTGTGGCTGCCGTGGGAGCTGTCACCAGCACCTGATTGAATGTCCTGGCTGGAGAGGAGGCGGTGTGGGGAGGACATAAACCAGAGTGGGCCCATCCCACGGCTTCCCAGGCAGGCGTGGAGCTGGTGGGGCCTGCCGGCAGCTCTGTCACCTGCTGCCACTGGATGTGGGCTCGTGCTGTGGCACAGCACACCCAGTGCCTGGGAGTGCAGCTGAGCTTCCAGGCCTGGCCAGAAGAACCCTCATCCCCCCAGCACTGGGCTGGGACTGGAGCTGGCTTACATCCATCATTCATGGAATTTGGTTTTTAAGGAAAATTTCTAATTTCTTCTGCTCTGCTTAGTGCTTTGATATGTGGGAGCAGGCGTTTTTCTCTGGAGAGGTGTCTTGTAACCATTCCTGCCCTGAGGAGATCCCCCCCAGTGCCTGAGGGGAGCAGCAGGCACAGGGGCTGGAGGCGGCTGGCACTGTCCATGTGTCATCAGAGGTTCTTTTGGGCTTTGTGTGCTGTGGCTTTGGTGGTGTTTTGTTTTCTTTTCTCCTCTCCCTCCTACAGCTTTAAAAATTAACTTGCCTGGGGAGTTTCTCAAAATCCTTTCCTTTCTCTGGAATGATGGATAAGCCATGTAACTGATTGTCATGGCCCCAGGGAGGATAAACATCTTCTGCAGTTTAAAATAAAACCTCCTCACTCCTTGGTTAATAAGTGTTGAAAGAAGCACAAACAGAGCTAACACGGGATTTCCATGACTAACAAGATGACCACATCAGTGAATGTTGTTTGGGGTTAAAAATGACTCAGCTTTTGCTTCCCCTGGGTAAGATGCTTTATCCCAGTGCACGAAAAGCTGCCAACAGCACTTTGAAGCTCTTGCAAATGTGATGGAGCCAGGATTGTGAACTGGGAAGTGTTTGAATGCCAGATTAAAAAAACCCTCATAAACTCTGCTCCATGTGTGCGGATTTCTGGAAGATAAAGGAGCCCACAGCTTCATCCAGCTTGTGCTGACTCTTTTCTTTTCAAAAGCCTTTTCAGATGTTTTCACTTTTCTGCTGGCTTTGTTGAAAGATGTAAAAATTTAAGACAACCACAAAGTAAACATTTCAAAACTTTCTATTCTGAAAATTAGTGACATTTTCAAAATCCCTCAAATTCCATTTCAGCACTATCCAAAATGAAGATGTTTGGGTTTTTTTGATCAGCAGGTTTTCCATGCAGGTTTTTGTTTATTGATAACTTTTATTTTTCAAAGCAAATAGATTTATTATTCAGTAGAAACACTAGATAAGTAGATGTCTTGTCAAAATCAAGCAGGTTTTCTTTATTAGAGTGAAATAGTAATGAACTCATCTGCTTCCAATATTTATAAAGAGTAGGGAAGGCCATTAATTCTGCTGCTTGTGAATAAAACCATCTGTGATTTCTTTCCATTTGATGTGTTTTGGTTTTAATATACATTTTTCACAAATAAGTGTAGGGATTTTTTGTGAAAATGTCACATTCAGAATCTCATAAAGAAGGAACGCAAGGAGGGGGGAAACGAAATGTTTTGTTAGCTCAGTAATTTCTCACCTTGCACAGAGAGTAAAATTCCTGCCAACTTTAACACATTAGGCGACAGAATTACATGTTCGGCTCTAATGCAATCCATGACATGGAACAAGGCAAACAGAGGATGTTTGGAAGTTTGTTTTCCTTTGGGAATCACACAGCACATTTAACTTAATCTGTCCTGACACTTGAATTATAACGTGAGCTTCTTTAGGGAAGCAAAATGGTAGATGCCTCTTTTAAAAGCAAAGCAGAAGTTAATAAAATGGGCAACATGTTGAGGAGAAAAAGCCTGAATGAACCATCATGCGATTCTCAGAGCAAATGGGGCTCCAACCTGGGGTTTTTCTTCCAGAAATGCTGTAAATCTTGTCACATCCTTCTGCTGAGGGTGAAATTCGACCTCCAGAATTTTACTCGATTAAAGCAAAAGCTACAAGAATGCCCCAAGTGAGGCCACTTTGTAGTTGGACTTGCGAGTGTTCGATCTTAAATTAAACTGAGTATTCATCCAGCTGATCTGCCAGGATTTATTTCACAATCTTCTCAGCAGCTCGTGCATTGGAGACCGTTCTGTGCTGCAGCTTCCTGAGCTGTACCTGTAGGGGGAAGGAGTGCTGCTGCTCCAGCCAACACAGCCCAAGCACCCAGGGCATCTCTCTGAGGGCCTTTGCTGGGACTGGGGCTGTAAATGCGCTCTGCTCCACTGAGTGTTGCTTGAAAAGGTTGCCTCCAGTTACAGATTTAAAGGTCCAAATTTAATGTCCATTGTCCAACAGGATCAAAGCAGATCCTTGGAGATTCCTCTGGGTGAAGAAACCTGAAATCAAACAGCAGATGTCCTCACCTGAAGCCCAGAACTCCAGGTGCTGCAGAGCAGGGCAGGTACTCCCCTGGGGAGGGAAAGGCAATGTCAGTTGTCACTGAAAGTATCAGTAAACTGGTTATTTCTCAACTGGAGAAACTGGTGGAGAAAGGAGAGGGCTGTGCTCTTCTCTCGGGGGAGTTTTCACACCTATGTCAAAAGCAAGTAAGTCTGCTCACTGGTTTGCTTATATTTTACAGTTTTTGTAATTTATAATTTATCATTTAATCTGGTGTGGAACAACAAAAATCCTAATTTGTCCCAAACATATTTTTCTCACGAAATTGAACAACACTGTCAATGGACAAAGAAACAAAATCTGAATTTCAGCTTTAAAAATCTTGAGCAAATAGTTTCCAAGCAGAGGGCTTGGGCCAGGTTTGGGTGGGTTTGCACAAGTTCCACATTGCTGGTCTGGGGGCTCTGGCCACGACAGGCGCTGGGGAGGGACTCAGTCCCCAGCAATGGATCCATGGCCCTCTGCGGGTCCCCCACCAAGACAGAAGCATCAAAATGAGGCTTTAAAGAGTAATAAGGAAAATTCACACTGGATATTAAGAAAACTTCCTAAAGGAGAAGCAGGTGAGGCCTGGGAGGTTGGACAGTCTCCATCAGTCTTTGCCAAATATGTGTTGGGAGGGGGAGGTGAGGCTGAACCTCAGCAGTGTCAGGGGGTGGGTCCTGTGGCTTTGCCCTTCCTCACGGAGCACACCAGGGACTGTTCCCACAGTCACGGCAAAGGCTTGGGATTTGGATTGTTTGGGAGCCCAGGAAGTCATCACACTCTAAGGTCACTTCTGTTTAATTCCCTGGCAGGGGAATGCTCCAGGAGTGTTTGAACATGGTCCTTATTCAAAAACAAGGCAAGAAGCCCATGGTGGTTATTCCCTATGGGTGTCCCCCAGGAGCGTGGGAGGGGGTGATTGGGATGCATCAGACCAAGAGCAGAGGGCATGGGGCGAGCAGAGTGAGGAGAGAGGGAGAGCAGGAGTTACCAGCATAGCCCTGTGCCAGAGATGATGGTGACTATTGTGCACTGACAAACAAGTTCTCCACTGGTCAGGGGAAAGTTGTCATGTCCATGGACTGGGCCAAGGGCTGGCAAAACCCAAGGGGTACAAACTTGGAGATACGTGAGGATCAGTTTCACGAGCTCTGGAGGCCACAGAGGTGGCTTCCTGTGACTGACTGTGCTCTGAATTACACAGAGACTTTCTGCTTTTCCCACCAATACATAACCCTATTCCCACAGTCCCCAGCAATGACCTGTCATGGGTGGCAGAAGCCAGTCAATGGACTCAAAGCCCTTTATGCAAGCATTTTCCCTGTTCTAACTCTAAATTCCTTTTTCTGTCCAAATTCCTACTCATAAGAACCTCTTAGGAACTTAATTATCCTTGAGACTTCTACCTCTCTGTGAAATCTGGTTTAAATCAGTAAAGAAAAGAGTTCAAAGTTATTGGGCAGGACAGGCAGACAGACAAGCACACAGGGATCACAGGAACCTTGTTTTCATACGAAACTAGATTAAAAAAATCCCACAGCAGTTACCAGCCCCTCTGGTGGCACGCCTGCCTCAGTCCCGTGCAGGGCGATGGTCGGGGGGTGCTGGGGCACAGGCAGCTGGGTTTGTGCTCTTTGGGAAGGGGAGGGGGCTGGTAATAGACCCTGCCTCCTTCAGCTGGGGTTGGCTGGGCAGTGGCGCTGGCAGCAGCCATCCCGCAGCCTGTCTGCTTCTCTCAGCTGGATGCAGATTCATGACACCCCTGCTCGCTTTGGCATGCAAACCTGTACCTAATTTCTTCTGAAATGGGCCCTGAGGAAGTCAGCAGATGTTATTATTAAAGTATTGAGCATCAGCAGCTCCTGAGATATTGTCAGTCTG